TCTCAGCCTGGCAGGTGTCATTCAAAGTCCCAGGCTTATTTTTAGACGTGCCCGAGCGCTGAGAGCGATTGCAAGGCTGAGAATTGTCAGATGGGTTTGTTTAGAAAGGTGCTCAGTGCTGGTTTTAACGGTAGGCGTGAGTCCGTGTCCCTTAAACTTAAGAAAACATCAACCTGGCTCCTTTGTGAGAAACCTCATTGTTACCTCCCTGTTCTGGAGAGAACAGCTAAGAAGCCAATGTGGAAGTCCACAGCCCATCAGGGGTTTAGCTGCCTCTTGTTGATTTACCAAGTTTTCCCACTCTTCTTGTAGAGTTGCCTTTAGAGAACAAACAGAAGGTATATCAGGAAGCTGATGATATTTTTTTTCTCATTTCTACCTGAACTTTCCTCAGGAAGAGGAGACGGAATGGCAGTGAAGATGATGGCCATGTTCCCCAGACAAAGCGTAGTACCAGGAACACTGTCCTTCAGGACTCTTGGGACACTGAGGTGAGAGCCTTCTTGGGCAAATTCGGTTTCCTTTAGTGCTGATTTTACATAACACTTGGGATATTCTGTGAAATTTTATTCCTGGAGAGTAGCGGGTGTACACAGAGCAAAGCCAGTGCTGTCGAGGGCTCGAGGCTTGGCTCTGTTCCGTGCTTCCACGACTCAAATCTGCAAGATGTGGTTTGGAAATCAGCAGGTTTTCCAGCCAAGCTGATTCTCTTTGGCCTGAATATTTCTGTTGAGATGTTCCAAATACGGAGGTGTTGGACCCCAGCGAAAAAAGCAGTTGCTGCCCCTTTAGTTTGCTGCCTGGAACGACCTGTAACGCACCCAGAACCGAGGCGGCGGCTGGGGCAGGTTCCAAGCGCCTGGGGTCCCTCAGCCTGGCCGTCTGCTCACCCCGTTTTGGGTTTACTCACAACAATGTGATTATTTCTGGTAGAAAGTCTAAAGCATTGCAGCAAGTGCAATGCCTGCCGCAGCAGTGGTTGCTTCTCTGGGGTTGCAAAACGCTCTGGTGGAGCTCGGCAGTTGGACCAAGACTCACTGGTTCGCAGTGAGAACGCTTGAACTCGAGCTGGTTGGTTTCTGCTGGTGTTTGCCGTGATCTTTTGCTGGATGTGGGATAAACTGTCCCGTATTCGCTCGTCGCTCTCACGACAGGTGTTTGAGGATGCTGCAGTTTGCTGGCTATGAGATTTCTTGCCTAAAAAAATGCTGATTTCCAGACTGCTGCCAGATTCCCTGAGTCGTTGCCTCTATTAATCATCTGAAAATTCGCAGTATGCGTTTCTAATTAGCGATGTAGTTCTGTTGCAAAATGTTCACGGAAAAGAGCGTGGGGAGCAGAGGCTCCCTTTGCTTTGTGTCCCTGGAAGTTAACGAAACAGGTTTCTTTAAAGGTTTTTTAGAAATATCCTTGTTGTTTTTGTACAGTCTCCTCACTTTGAAGCTTGGCTGTAAGGGGTAATTACAAACTCTTGGGGTTATGTCGAACTGTTAACTGTACTGTGACTGCAGAAAGTGTTTTGCGCTACTTATCTCTGGGCAACATATCTTTAATCTTATGGTAATGACTTCAAACGTGTATTTACACTGAAAATGATACCCAGCTCTGTATCCCACCGTTCCTTTTGTGAGGGAGGCTTCCTTTTAACACCTTTACGCGTAGCTGATGCGATAGTCCGTGATGTTGTGTGGCAAACGCTCTTCTAACAGCCCAGCTGTTCATCCCGGAGGAGCTCGCTGTGGTGACCAACGTTCCTGGCTCCTGCTCCTGTTTTGCCAGGAGTTAAGACTTGCTGGGGGTGAAGTCGGTATTGCTTCTCGGGTATAACGGGTAGAACCATAAATGGCTGCTTGTCTGACGCTGAGTCACTTGTCCAACAGGTTAAACCCCTCCTCTCCGTGTGTAGAGTAGTTAATGGCTAAACAAGCTTTGTGGCGGGAGGAGGAAGAGTTTAGTGTGGAACAAGGGATTGAAGTAGGAGTAATGAAATTGTGACTATCGGGAAAAACCTTCATGGTGAGTGGCAGAACTTGTCATGCAAACACTTGGCGTTTGACTGGGCAAAGCTGCTGAAAGGCAGGAGTGGGAACAGTCTTGCAGTGACCCCCCAGGAGTGGGTGACCTTAACTCTGTCCCTAACCCGCCTGTTCGGGGTGCCTGCAAATGACCAGCATGTGCATGACCTGCCTGCCCCACCACAGGCTCCTGCTTCATGCATGTGTTGTGACAGCGTGTTCTTAACCCCCTCAGCCCCGGCGGGCCGGCACGGGGCACCCCTTGCTGCGACGCTGAAGGGCAGGAACGCGCCTGCTGGACACCGTGGTGCAAAACCCAACGTTCCCTTTCTGCAGGGAACAAAACTCACAATGTTGTCTGCTGATGAATAGAGCTTTTTTGTTTTTCCCCCCGCTTGTTTTCTTGTCATGTAGGGTCACTGGATTGAGCATGCCCAGAAATTCAAGCCCTGAGATTAAATTGGTTTTATTGCAGTCTTTCTTTAAGGACTTCCTGTGCCAAATGGGAGAAATTCTTGCGCTTATAGTGCACAAGAGCTTCCGATTGGTGTCACTCTGATATTTCTTGGCCATTTGTAATACTTTTATTTAGTTTCCTGATAGTTTGACAGCTCTTGCTGATCAAAACTCCTCGCTAGCTTTAGGATATTGAACGAGGAGAGAAAGTGTGTGTGTGTGTCGGAGCAATTTGTAACTTCAAAGAGTAGGAGGGCACACGCATACCTGCTTTTGTGAAACGTCAGCTGCAGTACCGATGCCTTTTGCCTGCCTCAGTTGAAAGTCGACTGTTTTCTCTTGCAGAATGTGGTTTATGCGAGACCATAACCTCCATAGGAGGATGGGGCAGCCGTGTTACTGAAACGGGACTTGGCTTTTGCCAGGGCCCTTTTCCAGTTTGTTGGTCTCACTCGTTACTCTGTGTAAGATGAAGGGAGATTTTTTTTTTTCCCTTCGTGGCAGTTCAAACGTGGGCTGTTCTGTGACATTATCCCTCAGCCCCTCACTTGGAACCCTGCTGCTCACAGGAGCTAGAGTCGATGCAAAAGGCTATCGATGTTTTCTCCCACGAGGTTGCTCTTCCATCCAGGGTAGGCGACATCCTTGACTCCGACTTTTGCAGGAAGGAACCCCAGATTTTCTCCCACCCCAGATTTTCTCCCATCCCTCTCAGCACCACTGCTTGCCAAATTGCTGCAGCCATGTCCCTGCTCTTCGTGAAACAAACGGCTCCCACTCCACGGCCACCCTGAGGGGGACAGCCAGCCTCTGCTTTGCAGCTCAGCCCGTCACCAGGCACACGACGAAAACCTCAGCCCAGAGGTGCAGCGAGCGTTAACCATTAGCCAAGAGAGCACTTGCCACCGCCTTTCCCTTCCTCTCCAGCCTTGACCACGGGGTTCACTAGGCTGTTTTCCCTCACAAATTCAGCGAAAGCCCCTCCCGCTCTCCTGTTGCTGCTGGCCCAGTCAGGCCGAGCTGCAGGGGGTGCTCTGAGGGGCCGCCTGCAAGCAGCCGCTCATGGGCATTGGGGGGAATCTGCAGTTGTGCTCTGCAACCTGGGGAATCACCAGTGAAAACCCCTTTGCTCTGATTTTCCCTGGGAAGGAAGGGAGTCTGCGGTGTTCTGGCTAACTTTTTTCCTTCCTGAATGACTTCTGTAAAACCTGCTGGCTTGTGGTTCCTCTTTGTTACTGCGACCAGCGACAGGATCCCCCAGAGCTCAGAGATACCGCTGGCTCGCTGGCGGAGGTTGCTGACGCGCGGCAGCCGTTGCTTCTCTCAAAGTTTTTGTCTGGCGTTGCAGCCATGCCGCTCTACGGTATTAAAAAAGTATAAAAAAAGTATTACCGAGGAAGCTCTGGTCTTAAATTCTGTGTAAAACCGGGAAACGCTTCTGTTAAACTCATCTGGAAGATTTTGAGAGCAGCAGGGTCTGAATGGCTGTTTCTTAAGTTCCTGTTGTGAGTGAGACGCTGTGTCACAGCTCAGATTAATACATTTAACGGGACGTTTGTTTGGAAATCATTTAGAATTTCTATAGCTGCTCAGTGTGATGTTAAGAGGGGTTAATGTGTCAGCTAGACCGTGAAGATGCCCTTCTGGCACCTAAAAGTACTCTCAAACTTTCGTTGGGCTGCTTTGCTTTGCCCTTTGCTTAAAACTTTGTTTCATTGCCTGTCCTTGCTGACATGATGACTTTAAGGATTCTTTTTTTTGTCTAATTGTAGTCCAAATGCGTAACAGAATGTGCACCACAGCCTGGGGAAATGGTAGGTCTTTGACGTGATTTGGGCAATAAATGGGCTTCATGTGCTAGTGAACTTTTGCATTAGAGAAATGGAAATAAAGAGGGTCTGAGAAACCAGATGCATCAACAGCCTTAGATGCAGGAAGCACATCCCAGGACACTATCTCAGTCTTAAAAAGAAATGGGTTATGCGTAAAAATCATCATTACTGACAGCTCTAAAATGTTTGTTAAGATGTGAAACTTCAGCCGTAAGCGACGCCAGGTTCTCGTGTTGCTTTTTGCCTCGATTTGCCGAAGGTGGCTGTAACGAAACACAGCCAGGAATACAGACTCAAAGGAAACAGGGTGTCCTGTGCGGTGGGTTTCTCTCCAAGGCTGCTGTGACTTGTTGAGCGTAGCGGCGTTGCACTCCGATATTTGTGCTTCTGTGCGAAATGAGATGGCCTAGTGAGCACCACTGCGTGGCTGCTCTGTCCTTCTGGTGTCCTGCCCCTCTCGAGCGTCAGCAGCACAAGGGAGAGGAGCTGGTTGCTCGTGTAGTTACATCTGCTGCTTCCTCAAGAGTAACTTGGCGTGTGTGGTGGTGTTTTCCCCTCGCTACCTGAGCCCAACACGCCAGCGGGGGTGCAGCCCCGGTGCCCGTGTCTCG